TCCTGCCTCCAAATCCCAGGTGCTAGACAGAGCTGACATCATGAGCCTCTACACCCTGCCATCTCACTGAATTCTTAAGCTTGCGTTAAATTTTCAGCTTTTGTACGAAGTATTAACATGGCATCTAGAGTCTCTATCCACGCCAATGCTGACATTTGGATTGAGTATTCTTAAGATATTTTTAAGGGAAAGCGATTGCCATCCTAGGCTGTCCCAGTTTACATACCACTGCATTTGAAATTAATTTCATTACATAAAGAGCAAAATATTTTTCTCAAACACAATGGAGTGTCAAGGGAAATATTTAAATAAAATCCCTCTTAAGGAGTACTTTAAAGCAAATATAGTAACATATACATGCATTCTGAAATACCATGACTCTGGTTCCCTACTAGGATATATTAGTACTTCTAACAAAACCTTTTACCAACTAAATATAACTGGGTCATATGCTAATTAGTAATATTTCAGAAGAGGTTATTTTCATCCACCGATTTTCTGTTTCCTTTCATTATTATGAAGTTGTTAAACTGTGTTAAATTTAGAAAAACAGAAGCATTACCTTCTCATTGGTTCTTGAGTCTGAGTTTTCCCTTCCATTGAAAAGACGTTGATTGAGTACATCCCCCAGGCTGGCACTGCTGGGTGCTGGGACACAGAGACAACCGGGGGGATGGAATCGACTGGGGGAGGCTAGAACGGAGGAGTGCGGGGTTTGAGTTGCTCACGGGCTCTGTCCAGGCTTTGGTAGTGGAGGGCAGAGTAAGGCAAGGCAAAGACAGAAGGGCCAGGGCAGGCATTGAAGAGGCAGTGGAACTTGAGTTGAATTTTCAAAGATAGAAGAAGCCAGACATTGCAGTAGAAGGCTGGAATTGCAGCACTCAAGAGTCAGAGGCAGGAGAATCTTGAATTCTAGGTCATCCTCAACTACAATCAGACATTGCCTCAACCCCCCAAAAGTAATATAAGATAACAATGATATATTATATATTAATATATAATATATACTTACCTCTTAAAGCAGAATGTGAGTGTACACTATATTTCTATACATGAGCCTTGCTGAGTTACAAGACCTAGGGAAGCTTAGAATTTTGTTCTTGGTACTTTACTTTGGAAAACAAGTCTTATGCAAAATTCCTGTCAAGTTGTTTCAGCTTGTATTCTTCCCTCTAAGACTAGTACATACATAATTAACTACAGACTATGAAAAACTTAAAAAAATGGATTCTAGAAGTTGACACTCAAGGTGTCTGAACAATTTTTTCCCTTTTAAATGTGAAGCCGTGTCTCCGAACACTTCAGTGACAGGTGATCTGGTCTACTATCCAAACACTTCAGT